TTTTTTTTTTTTTTTTTTTTGTTCAAGTTTTTATTTCATGACATCAAATCATCAGCCTCAGCATCATCAACTAATACTTTTGAAAAATTTTTATGTTATATACTATTTGCCATTCAACAACCTCATCTTCTCAAACCCATACCATCAACAACTACCAGATGCCCGACAAGTGAATGGACTTTTGCGAACTGTTTAACGCCTCCCTCTATTAGCATGATGTTGCTTCTTGACAAAACATTTTCGCCGGGAACACCGATTTCTGACATACACTAATGATGACTAATACAGATTGACTCACTTTTTTGAACAGTTAGCACAGTTGATTATTGTCTTTTCCTGGAAATATAGTGCACAAAAATATTTACTGCTACACCTGAAAACAAAAAAAAAAAGCTGTTTTTTTTTTTTAACTTCACTGAACGTTTATTGCAGATAGTCTATTTGCTGGTCCAGTAAAAAAGATGAATTTAAACGTATAAACGGGTAGTTTCATCAACTTTAAACTATACATTTACAGACTGAGCAGCACAATAGGCAGTTACACGTCTAAAAGTACAGCAAGCTACAGGCTATTGATTTCTTTTACGGAGAGAACAGAGAGTACTACGATCAGAATAGATAAAGTTCATTTTTCGAACGGAAATTTTCTACTATTTTCGATAAAAAATTCTTATTTTGTCTAGTAAAATTTTCGCTTCTATGAAAGCTCTCTTTTCATCAAAAAAGTATAGCAATTGGGCTTTTCTTCTTCTCTCAACCACCCACGTCCAATTCTGTATCCCACTTCTTCTTTCTTCCTTCATAGTTTTTGTAGTTTCTGCAGTGAAGAGAAAATTTGTCATCTAATGGGCAACAAATTGGTAAACATAGAAAGCCTGTTTTTTTTTTCTTACAATATTATACTAAACAACTTTTTTTTTTGTCTGTTATTCACTTTCTTACAGCATCTCGAAGATGACCAAAAATTCAACAAGGAATTTTCGAACAAGCTTAAGCTTATAATTGTCAATACGTCATCAAAATTCAATAAGTCATTTAGAAGTGATATACACATGTTTACTGAAAATTGCAATCTTATTATTTTGTAGTTTTTTTTCCAAAATTATATCAGAAAGACTGATTTGTTAAAAAAACATTTTTTCTGCAAGTATTGATCGTTAAAAGTGGTAAAAGTTAAAGTTCAAAAAAGTTACTTGTTGAAGATTGATGTATGAACGGTTAAACATCTTTTGCTAATGTTACAACAAAAAGAAGCATCCATCTTTAGTTAAGTCAAAAATATAAAAATTTGACATTAAGCAATATGATGTTGGCCAGATACCCAAATGGTATCGTCAAGTGAAGAAAAATTTTGTTTTCAGATAACTGACAAAAATTTTGCAATCCGCTTTTGTAGTTGCTTGATTCAGATGTTTCTGAATACAGATGTTACAGCACGGTCATTCTATAGCAGATAAGTAAACTTGGTGAATTTAACTGTTCTGACGAGCAGCGCTGCTAAAGCGGTGATGTCGTCTGATGATGTTGATACGAAGTGTTGTAAACAACAATAGTTTACCCCAATTTTC